TGATTAAAAATTAACACAAAGAAAAAACTGCAATAACAATTAATAATAAAAGCTTTTTGATTAGTTTTTCCGTAAGAAAAAACCAATAAATAAAAGTGAAGTTTTAGACGAAAACGAGAATATTGAAAAGGAGATAAAAACTTCTTTTATTTATTAAGACATAAATGAAAAAGTTTCCCCTACAGCTTAATTTAATAATCTAAGTCATAGTTAAAATTAATTTAATTTAAGCAATTTTTCTAATAAACATAAATTTTCTAATAACGTATCTGGACTAAATTAATCTAACTTATTAATTAATAATAATATAAACAATAATACAAACGATAACAATAATAATACTAATAATAATAGTAACAATAATAGTAATAATAAAATCAATAACAATAACAAAACGAATAAAAGTAATTAAATAATAAATTCATTTTATTTTTATAATGATAATTATGGTATTTTATTTTATTTTTGTTATCTATTTTTTATTTTTTTAAATTAGATTTCATTTAAAATAATAATAATTTTGTATAATGTGTAGATAATTATTTAAAATATTTATATTAACCACTTGAATAAACAAATAATTAATAATCTCCTAGAACTTCTTTACAAAGGAATTTAAATATTAGCAATTTAATAAAAGAAAATTAAATTTTAAAATAATAAATTAATATTCAAACTTAAAAAATGAAAGAATTAGATTATTCAAGAAATATATTAATTGAAGATTTACAGAAAATTAAATAAAAGAACAGCCTTTATAAAGAAGTAAATATATATTTATATATAATTTCTATCTTTATTTGTTATAAAAGTAAATTTAAGTTTTAACTATTGAAAATTAGTAAGTGAATGCAACATGTAAATAAATAAATTTGAATTTGTTAAAAAATTAAGAAGAATTATTAAAATATAAAAAAAACTATTAAAATATCGTATCTACATTAAAATAAGCATTAAAAGAGTAAACTAAAATAAAATAATTTAAAAAAATAAAATATATAGAAACAATAAAAATATAAACAATTAATAAAATGAAAATTAAACAAGACCAAATAATTTTCGTTCGAAAAAAAATTTAAATTCTTGTTAATTTTCGGAATAAGATAGCAATATAAATATGTATAGTCAAAAAAAGTAAATATATTCTTTAATTAATTATAAATAAAAAAATATAAAAATAAAAGTTTACTTAATAATAATTCACTATAAAATTAACAATAATAGCAATTTTATTAAAGTAACAAAATGGAAATGTTAAAAAATAATCTAGACTATTTTTTAAATGCAAGCAGTATTTAAGAATTTGATGAAAAGATTTAAGATTATTCTTAAATAATTGATAGCTAAGGAGATTATTTTACTGATATTGATATGTAAATATAAAAATAATAATTCGAATTAGATAATTTTGATAAATACGAAGATGATATATAAATGGATAATAATGATTTAAACTATTTGTATTACCCTTTATAATAATTGAATAATATAGATGAAAATATATCATAATAAAATTAACTTTATGATGATTTTTATTTTAGTTTGAATAAGCTTTAAAGTGATAGTTTTAATTAAAAATTTTACACTAATTAATATTAAAATATTACTTAAAGAAATACAAGTAATTAAGATGAAAATAATTATTAAATTCAAAAAAGAAAATTATCTTTTAATTCAGTAAATAATAAGTTTTATTTATTTTAATTTATAAATTTTAAAAGAATCAACAGTTTAGTGATGTTAATATTAATAATTCTAAATAAAGCTAATTAAAAAGGTAGGTTGTTTAAAATAATAATACTAATTCTTAAAAAAATATATTAAATAGAAAATAATTTAACTCTAATTAATTATATTATAAATGATTTTTATTATAATTTTTTATATCTCTATAAAAAACAATCAATTAATATATTAACTTATATTGTTATATTCCTTTATATTTTTTATAATTTTTAAAATCTAATTAGAACTTTAAATAAGAAATTTTTTTAAATGTATTATCTTAACTTTTCATTTATTTTTGATTTCTTTAGTAAACAAAAAAATAATAAATATATTTTTTATATTTATGTTTTAACAAAAATCAATTACTTTTTTTAAATAGGATATATAAAAAATTAAAATAAGAATTATATCTATGTAAATATTATTATATATAGATTTTAAAAACAATAAAAAAATTATAATTTGATAAAATTTCAAAAAAAAACAAAAATTTAAATATTAACAACTTATAAATAATTTAAAATTCATATATATAAAAAAATGAATTATTATTAAAATAATTAAATATCATAAATGGAAAGAATAGAGCGCATATGCTTTCCTAAAAATAACAAAGTAAATTAAAAATAAGATTTATCCATAAAAAAATACTCATAATCTTCTATAAACAATTAAATAAAAAATACAAAAAAAGCATTAACAAATATATCACTTAATCATTATAATATAAATAATTATTCTTCTTCTAATTAAAATACAAATGTAAATTATTCAACTTTTGAATGTAAAAGAGATTAAAAACACTATAGATAAGATTATATATTAAATTATACAGATATAATAAATTTTATAAGAAAAATAAGTTAAAATTTATAAGAATTATGTTTAACAAAAACACAAGAAAAAAATTTACAAACCTTAATATAAAATAATATAGAGTAAATAAATAAGTTATAGTATTTTTTTTAAATAAATAAATGCGATTATGAATAAGGAATTGAAATTTTAAGCGATTGTTTTAATGAAATTGTAGAAAAGTTTACTTATTTGATAGATAAATTAAAAAATCTTAATTACAAAAAATTTCAAAATTTAATAGATTAAAATTTAGATAATACATTGATAGAAATCGTTAATGAAAATAATAAACTAAGCATTATAGATATTATTTCAGATATTAATCATTCAGTAATAAAATAAAATATCTACTTTTAATTAACTAAAATCGATAATTAAATTAATAAAAATAATTAAAAAAATCTACTCTAAGCTTTTCATTAAATTATTCTTAAAACAAAACACGATTTATAAAATAAAAGCCTTATTAATAAACTGAAATTATTTTCTATTTAAAAAATTCTTTTCATAAACGAAAAATATTCAAAATACTTAATTTAATAATACTTTTATAAATGGCATTATTATAAATAAAAAAATGTATTTTTTTTATGCTTTTAATATATAAATGTTTAATAAATAAAATTTATTTTTATATAAAAAGACTTTTAAAGATTAAGCATATTTACAAGGTTTTTAATTTTTATCGATACAATAATTAAGGAAAAAAATAATTACTTTTAACAACTTAAAAGCTATTCTTATAATTCTCTAATTAAATAATAATAAATAAAAGATTACTTTAATATTTTAGTTTAAATTCAAAAAAAATAAAAATAATAAACTTTTTCAATTTTAAAACACTATATAATATAAAAGCATTTAAAAAAGATTAACAAAAATTATATTTCAGGAGTAATATTATTCGAGAAATAATTTTTAAGACTAGTAAAAAAAACAATATAAAGTATATTTAAATTAATGAAACAAAACAAATAAGCTATTTTTTAAGGCTTAAAGCAACTTCATTTATTATACCAACTAAAATATAAGCAAATTTTAACATATTTTTTTAATAAAATATACTTTAATATTTAAAAAAAGACTTTTTAATAAAATATGTGTAAATAAATTAACATAAAAATGGATTAAATTCAACAAATAGAAAATGTATAAAAAAAAAAAAAAATCTATAAATTAATTTAAAAAAAAGAAATATGAAAATTTAAATGTTGAAAAAAAAGCAAAAATCAAATGTCTGGCCATAAGTGTTATTTTTAACTTTTTAAATGAAAAAAAGTGCTAAAAACAATTAATATAAATATATTTAAATAAATGGCAAGAATTCGCCGAAAAAAATCGAATAGCTTAAATTGCATATTCTCACATAAAAAAAGTAGACTAAAAACACACAGAATCTCGACTTTAGAGTGCTATATATTTATTAAACGCTTTTTAAACGAAATATTAGATGAAATAAAAATTAAATACTTTTAAATCCTTAGCATTAATTTCAGTGCATAATAATTAAATAAATCTCTCTTAATTTAATAGATCTGTATCTAATAATAATAGTAATATGCATTCCCCTATAAGTACAAATAATAAACATTAATAAATGAAAAATTAGAAATAATATAATAGTAATAATTCTTTTATTAATAATAGTCATTTTATTAAAAGCACTATTTTAAATAATTAATAGTTTGAATAATGTCTAACTGAAGAATCGTCGTCTTCTAATTAATTATAGTCTGCTTAAATAACAAACACTTATAAATATGAAGCTTAATAAAAAAATAGCTAAATTTTATTCTGTGATCAAAGTTAAAAATAATAAAATAAATGTCAATAATAATCTAATTTAGGATACCGTTTAAGTGCAAAAACTAAAAACTTTATATAGTAATTCGGAAAAAAAAAAAATTAAAGAAATAATACGATGATTTATGGAGAATAATAGCCTTCTTCTGCATCTTATAGAATTATTAATAATACTTATCATAGAAATAAATCTATTAATGAAGTTTAATCTACAAATAGTAAATTTAAAAACAATTTTAATGATAGTATTTTTAAAAGTTAATATTGAAATTTACATGTTTTGATTGTATAGATTTTATTTATTTTATATTAATCTATTTTTTTTTTAATATTTTTTTTTTATTTTTATATTTTTTTCTATTATTCTTTTTTTTATTTATTTCTCATGATTTATTTTTATTTATTTGTTTATGTTTATAAATAAAATTTGCAATTTATTTTTTATTTAAAAAAAAAAAAAAAAAAAAAAAAAAAAAAAAAAACTTATTAATATTTCTAATATTCAATTAAAAAATAAAAAATAAAAAAATAAACAATAATTTACAAATTATTTCAAAAAAATAAATAAAATAAAATAAAATAAATAAAACATTAATTCAAAAGTAAAGCAAATGAACTCGAAATTAGACGCAGTTGAAATTACAAAAGGTACTTTTTAAACATTCTTTAACTAAAATAAAAATGATAAAAAAAAACTATTATGTTCAAACAAAAATCGATTTTTTTTTTTTTTTTTTCGAACTATAAAATACATTTTTTCCTCTTAATAAAATTTTTGCAAATTTAAATTTTTTAAAAAAATTTATAAATCCATTATTATTCTTTAAAAAATTTTTAAAATAAACCCAAATTACTTATTTTTATTATTTATTTAATATAAAAATAAAGATAGACTTTATTGGATTTCAGGAAAAGAACCACCAAAAAACCAACCTAATGCATTTTTCTTTAATATAGATACTGTAAAAATAAAAAAAACATACAAAAGACATAACTAATATAATGATTCTCAATAAAAAATAGGATTTAGAATATGAACCTTTTTTCGCTGATTTTGGACCTCATAGTTTAGGAAACACATATAGATTTGTGACTGAATTAGAGCATTTATTATAGGATCCAGATTTTTCGAAAAATTTAATATATCATTATACGGGACTTGATTCTAGTAAAAGAACAAATGCAGCATATTTAATGGGAGCTTATTAAGTAAAAAATTATAAAAAAAAAAAAAAAAAATTAAAATATTTATATAATCTAATATCTAAAAATAATAGTCTATTTTAAAAATATATTACAAATAACCATATATTAGATTAATATATATACATAAAATATGCTTTTTATTAATATAATTTATTTAAAAAACCAATAAAAATATTTTAAAGCTATTTTAAATATTAATTTTTTTAAATTTATATACTTAAATAATTACATAATAATAATAAATAAAAGGTAATTATATTAGGAAGAAGCGCGAATCAGGCATGGGAGCCTTTCAAAAAAATACAACCACCATTTACTGATTATAGAGATGCAAGTTATGGATAATGCACATATAAATGTTCTGTAAATAAAAAATAGTTTTATTTTATATAAACATAAATATATATATAAGATTTTAGATTGTTTAAGAGGTTTAGAATATGCTATAAAATTAAAATGGTTTGATGTTCGTAATTTTAAATTAAGAGACTATGAATTTTACTCTAGAGTAGAAAACGGAGACTTAAATATAATTATACCTGAAAAATTCATTGCCTTTTCTGGTCCTTCAGCAACATAAAGGGATGCAGATGGTGTAAATAAGAAAATATATAAATAAAATAAAAAAATATATATAAATATATATATATATATATATATATATATATATATATATATATATATAGTATAGAACATTTACACCTGAAGATTATGTACCAATATTCAAAAATTTAGGTGTAACATTAGTAATAAGATTAAATACAAAATCTTATGAAGCTGATCGTTTTAGAAAACATGGAATAAAACATTTAGATTTGTATTTCATTGACGGTTCATGTCCTCCAGATGATATATTAGAAACCTTTATCGACGTATGTGAAAAAGAAAAGGGAAAAATCGCAGTCCATTGTAAAGCAGGATTAGGTAGAACTGGCAGTTTAATTGCTATGTATGCAATGAAGCATTACCACTTCCAAGCATCCGATTTTATTGGTTACATAAGAATTGCTAGACCTGGTAGTATTTTAGGGCCCTAATAATTTTATTTGATTGAAAGATAATAACAAATGCATAAAGCAGGAGAAAATTCCTAAATTTGGAAATCCGTGAAATATTTAGTTTCAGATATTGAAGATTTAAACAAAAGATTTGATGTATATATATATTTTATTTTTATTTATTTTTTATTTTTTTCTAGAAATTGAATGTTGATAAAGGTGAAAAATCTCCTGAAGATATTAGAGTTGCTAGATAAGGAGATTAAGGTTAAGGAGAAAATTTAGTTAGGGCAAAAATATAGGCTAAAAACAGTCCATAGTTTAAAAAATGAATAAAATACATAATAATAGATATAATTTTAAATAAAGAAAATATATATATATAAAATTTAATATATTATTTATTATTATATTTATTTTTTTATTTAGTAATTTTCTTTTAAATTTTTTTTTATTTATACAAAAATATTTTATTTATAATTAAAAAATATATATTTATAAATAAAAATATATATAATATTCTCATATATATTCAATTAATTTTTAATAAAATAATCTTTTTCTAATCTAATTATTAATTATTTTCAATTATAATTCATCTAAATTTGAACTCATTAAAATATTATCAATAATTTAAATTATTTATTATATAAAAATGTTATTATTAGAAACAAATCTATATATATTATCTAAGCATTAAAAAAATTATTTATATGTATTAAATATAAAAAACTAGCTAAAAGTATCTAAAAGACTAATAAGTTCTCTTAAAATTTCATAACTTATCTCATTAATCTAAAAAATAAATTGATTAAATAAAAATAATATATATATTAATAAATATACAGTTATAGTATTAATTCTATCCCATAAATAAATATTTGATTAAATAATTAAAAGAAATTTTTAACCTTCAATAGAGTAATTATTTAAAATAGATATAATTAACATATTAATATTAAATTAGAAAAAATCTAAATAATTAACTAAAATAAGTATATTATTTTCACATATAATTTCTTAAAATTTTTCTTTCAACTATTAATTTAGAGTAAAATCTCTTTTTCCAATAAAGCTTTATAAACTAAGCATTTATTCATTTTAATCTTAGTTAAAATTAAAACAAGAAATAAAAAAAATAAATTTTAATAAATGCTAAATTAAATAAAATTCAAATTTTTGCTTTTTTTTTTCTTTTTATAAAAATAAATTTAAAACTAAATGAAATTTTTCTAAAACAACTCCATTCTAAATAATCTCATCAACAATAAAATCCTTATAAAAATTAATGTATTTATATAATAAAATAACTATATATCCGAAAATCTCCATCTAAAATTCATCCTAGATTTCTACTTTTTATAAATAATTTACAAATTCTCCTAAAATAAACTTCTCAAAATGTCTATTTAATAACCCGTTTTCTAATATCTATATACATTCCTTAAATATTTCCCTTTATATATTCTATTCTTATTTGAAGATATATTTATTAAAAAGATTTAACATAATTTCTATTATTTCTTCCTTTTTTTATTAAACATAAATATCTCCTAAACCCCATATACCTAAATAAGCATATTCTAGTTTTTAATCATTAACGGCTTTTAAAAAAACTTCATAAACGCCATTTTACTTTTATTTTATTTATTTTTTTAAAAAAATATAATTATATACATTCTTACTAATGCAATTTCAAAATTTTCCTTATTACTTCCAATTGAACTTACCATAGTTTATAAAGAAATTAAACTCAAAAAAAAATGTTCATTTTAATTTTGACTTTCGTTTGGAGAATTATAACTTTTAATTAAATATTAAATTATTTCTTTTGAAATTCTTATAGTTGATATTAATTAAGTTCTTAAAAAATATTCAACGCCAAGTAATGCTCGAAGTTTTATTTTATATTCAGGACTAAATATATCTTCTAAAAATTAAGGAATATCAAACTCTTTGAATGTTTCTTACTTTAATTGAGTATAAATTTAGTTTGGTGTAGTTTACTTATATCGATGCTTATTTAAAATTTAATTCATTTTTTGTTTTCGAAATTCTTTAGAAAATTGCTCTTTTAATTTATTTTTTGTTTGTTAATTCATTTTTTTTAAAAAAATTATTTATATATTAATATTATTAATTCATTTTTATTTAAATTAAAAAAAAAAAAATATTAGCAAAGCTAATTAAAAGTAGTATTTAGATATATATATTAAAAATATAAATAATTAAATTAAATTTATTTCTAATATATAAAAAATTAAGAGTAATATTATGATTATGCTTAAAAAAAAAAAAAATTCGGATAATATGTCTGTATATAAATTTCATAATTGCTTTTTTTATATATTTATATTTATTTTTTTATCTATTTAACATTTATAATTACTATTTGTATATATTTATATTATTTTTTTAAAAAATATTATTTAATTAAAATAAAAAAATCATTATTATTTTTAATTTTTTGTTAAAATAATAAAAATGAAAAAAAAAAAAATTTTCAAATTTCATCTTCATTAATAATATTCTTATATTTCAAAGATTCTTTTTTAAGTCTATTATATTCAAAATTATTAGCTTATTTATTATCTTAGGTATTATCGAATTCCTTTTGAATATTCTCAATTGACTTGTTTTTTTAATATATATGCTACTAAGGTAATTATTATAAGTCTTCATTTTTATTCAAAAAGATAAACAAATTAACACATAGAAGTAAAGTTGAATAACAACAAACATAATTGACCATTTCGAAAATATAAATTTCTTTATAAAACCTAAATTCTTTGAATTCAATACTATAATGTAAAGAAAGATTAATCAAAATAAACATATATCTCATTCCTAGAACAATAATCAAAAAGAACAAATAAGTAATAATATTTTATAAGCTTTAAAAATAATTGTTTTCAAACCCTAAAAGATCATCCTAATCAAACAAAATATTAAGAATGCTTTAATTTTTATATCTTTCCTTTGAAACAAGTTTATTTTTATTCGCCAATTTTTAAAACAACGGAAAAACATAACCCAAAATTAACGGTGCAGTCCCAATTTAAACAAAATTCGAAAAAATATTTTAAATAACATTTCCATTTAAATGAATTGAATTTTTTAAAGAACCCATTTCTATACTACCCAATATTCCATTTTATAATATTATTATAGTTAAGAAAATCAAATAAATAAGTTAACTAGAAGAATTTAAATAGCCTGCGTTTTTGACTAAAAAGAAAAAACTTCCCAACTAAAAAATATAAAATAAAAATATCCAATATATATGCTCGTTATGGTTATCAAAAAATAATATTGGAAGAAAATTTATTACCAATAAAACCCATTTTGCTTCACAATTTAATTAATTAAAATCGTTTGTTTTGTTTATAAAAGGCTTTAATAATACATACGATGTGAAAATCGAAAAAATCATTATTAAAAAAAATGCCTTCTCATGATTTAATATGAAACTTAGAAAATATTAAACACCACTTATTACAATATTTAAGAAAAGACTTCCTAATAAGAACTTAAAAATTTATTTTTTTCTTTCTGATTATATGATTTGTATTTCAATTTTATATATTAAAATAAGAACCTTTTTTATAAAAAATACTATCACAATATACGAAATTAAATTTATTAAATTATGCAAGCCATATATTTTATCAAGAAAATAATCAAAATTTATTCTAAAAACGCCCAAAAAAACACCTGTTATAACTTAATTTAAAATAGTTAAAAGTAAATTATTAAAAAATTATTTTTTCTCGACATTAAACAAAATAATTAGTCTAACAAAAAGATCAATAATAAATATCCATTATTCTAATATAAAAAAATAAATATATTTATAAATACAAAAAAAAAAAATTACTAGAACGAATAAAAATAACAGTAAAAGCTAATAAAATAGTAATAAAAATATTAAAATTATGATTAATAATAGAAATATGCTTAAAATTAAACTAAGCAGAAAGCATATTTTTAAGTAATTTTTAATTATGACTATATTTCATTTCCTTGAAAATCAATATAATATAAGTAATAAAAAAAAAAATAGCTGCAATAATTAAAATATGCTTTTCTCCAAAATTGCTTTTAGATATAATCTTTCCATATCCTTCATAATTCTTCTTTATTTTTTATTTAACTTTCCATTTTATTCATTAACTTATATTCTTTTACTTCATTTTTATCATTTCCTTCAGCATAACTAATCAATTCTTCAGTTAAAATATTGAAAAATTTGATAAACTCATCCAATTCTTTTTTTAATACTTATATTTATTCATAGTGGAAAAATAAAGGATATTTTTTCGAAAATTCTCTCACATAATGATACATTTAATGAGAATTTAATAATATATGATATAATGTTGTATACCAAAATCTTAATTATAAACTTAACTTTTTCTCAACATCATCTATTTATAATTCTTCCAAATGCATATCTATTGAATATAACTCAGGTATTATCTAACCAAAATTACAAAAAGGGATAGGAATACCCATTAAAGCTGCCAAAGTACTTGTAATATCGATTTCTTCTCGTTCTTAATCTTAAATTTTTACAAAACTTTAAAAATCTTTTTTACTAAAAGCTTTTAAAAAACTTTTTTAATGACTATAAATTGTGCATGGACTCTCTTTTTAAAATATTTTTTTTATTTTTAAAAAATTGTAAAAAAAAATACATTCAAGAATTAAAATTAAAGTATTATTAGTCATCTATAAGAAAAAATGTTAAAGTTATTATTAAAAATTTTGATTGTCTTAAATTTATCCTATCATAAAATCAAAAGAAGAATTAGTTAATACTTAGTGTAAATTTTATTCATGAAAAAATTCAGAATTATTCATTTATGGAAAAAGTCTTTACCAAAATTTCCTTTAGCCAATTTAAATTACATATTTTTAAGTATGATTCATTTAATGAAATAAACTATCATCAATAATCTAAAATTAAATATAAATATAAATATAAATATAAATATAAATATATATATATATATCAATTTTTATATATATATATATTATTTATATATATTTTTTTTTTTTATATATATAATATTACTTGCTCTTATTCATATATATATTCTAATAATGAAGCATAACTTCCTGTCATTAATGAACTTATCTCTTGTCCTTAATAACATTATGCTTCCCTATTTAATGGAATTGAGATTTATTTTATATCTTATCCAATGACTGTTTTATTTAATACTTTTTGCCCTTAATATATAAAAAATGCTATTCTATCATATTATGGACCTTCAAACCAAGTTTTTCTTTGCACAAATTAAACTTCTTATTTGCTTTCAAAATGCATTTGCTTTTAAAAAAAAAATAGACCGTATGTAAAAAATATAATGCATATTATTTAAAGAATAAATGTTCGGAATAATGTATGATATGCTTCAATGCAATCTTATATAAATTAAGTCATTTTAAATTGATATTAGTTATATTATTGACTATATTGTTTTTATTATGAAATAATATTTTATTTATTTATATAGAATAATTAAAATTTATAAAAAATTGCTTAAACATAAAATATATTTTTATTTATTTAAAAATATAAATAAATAATAGTTAAAAGATATTTAATTATACTTAAAACAATAAAAATTAAAAATATTTTTATAATAATTAATATTATTTTATGTATTTTTTTTTATATTAAATAAATTTAAAACTTTTTAAAAAAGAAAAATATTTAATGATTATTTTTATATTATTTAATTTATTTATTAATTAATATTTTTATTTATAAATAACAAAATATTTTTATTAATAAAAAAGTTTAAAAACATAAAAAAATATTTTATAAATATTAAAAAATTTATAGGTTTTTTTAAATACTAATATTATGGTTTTAATATTTTTTTTTATTCGTTTAAAATTTTTTATAATAAATAAGTATATTAATTATATTAATATAATCAAATTTGTTTAATACAAATGAAATAAGCTAAATTCTAAAAATTAAGCAAATATATAAAAAAAATAATAAAATAAAGGTATAAAAATAAAACTAAATATAAAAAAAATAATAAAAAAATATAAAAAACACAAAAATATGATAATAAGCCATAACGACGATAGTATGATTTCTTCAAATTCAAATTTAGACGAAAAAGAAAAAATCAAATAGCCAATAAACGACAATGAAAATGAAAAAAACTAAAAACCCAATCAAGATGAAAAAAAGCCTGAAGAAAAAAAGAAAAACGATAAAAAGAAAACAAATCCCCGTAAAGACAAAGGTTATGGTGATTATTTACAAGCTGAAGAAGAAACATCAGACTAACCTCCATTAACAATAGTAGTACAAGGACCCAAACAAGTAATAAAATAAAGTAAAAATTAAAATATATATTTAAACAAAAAAAAAGAGTGGTAAAACAACATTAATAAAAAGTCTAGTAAAGCATTACACAAAGCATTCAATATAACAAGTAAAAGGTACAATAACAGTAAGAGCCTCTAAATATAGAAGAGTAACCTTTATTGAATGTCCAAATGACATAAATGGAATGATTGATTTATCAAAAGTAGCTGATTTAGCATTAATATTAATAGATGCATCTATAGGATTTGAAATGGAAACTTTTGAATATATAAGTTTATTAAAAGTATGTATTTACTTAAAATATAAATATATATATTTATAATTTACTTTTATTATAAAAAAAAAGAGTCATGGATTTCCTAATGTAATGGGAGTTTTAACTCATATGGATTTTTTTAAAGACAGTAAATAATTAAGGAAAACGCGTAAAAAATACAAAAAAAGATTTGAGCATGAAGTTGGAAATGACTATAAATTATTTTATTTATCCGGTATGAAATTCGGGACTTATCCAAAATTAGAAATTTCAAATTTGGCGAGATTTATTTCTATTATAAAATACGCGACTGTTCCTTGGAAAGCAAATCATCCTTTTATAATTCCAGATAGATACGAACATGGAAAAGAAGGCCAAAAGTTTGATGACAATGAATAATTAGATGTAAGTTTTTATGGATGGATTAGAGGAGCATCATATGGAATTAATAATAAAATTCATATTATAGGATTAGGTGATTACGAAATCGGAAATACAGAAATAATTGAAGATCCTGTTCCTATATTAGAATAAAAAGTATTCGAAGAAGAAGATAGTGATGATAATGATAAAATAAAAAAAATAGATGAAGATAATAATGAAGATAGTTGTGATGAGGAGAATGGAAATTAACAAAAAAAAAAAAAAAAGAAGAGAAAAAGAACATTAAAATAACAAGAAAAAATAGTCTATGCACCATTTTCAAATTTAGGTTTTTTAAACTACGAAAAATCTGGAGGATATATAACTATACCAGATGAACATGTAGTTTTTACAAAGAAATAAAAGAAAGAATAATTCGACTAAGTATTATAAATTACTTATTAAGATATATATATATATATATATATATATATATATATATATATATATATATATATATCTTTATATATATATTTTAATATAATCATAAATAAAAGGAAAATATTGATGAAATCATATAAGAAAATGAACAAGTTGTAAGTGATTAAGAACTAGAAGAAGGTGTGAAAATGGTAAGAGAATTATAAGAAATGAATGTTAAAAATTTAAATGAATAATTAAATGATAATGATGATGTAGAGTTAATTTAAGGAGTTTAACTTAATAATCAAGAAAAAAAACAAAACCTTACAGAAACAAAATAGATTGAGTTTCTATAAAAATAAAAAGAAATTATAAATCTTAGATTAAAAGCTAAAAATAATATTTAAGAAATTTCTTATGCAGTTGAACATTCAAAAAATGTTTTGGCTACAGATTTATAAGAATTAATTTACGTGTAATTTTTTATATTCATTTTTAATTTTATTTTTTTTTATGAAGTTCAAATAATAAAGTATGTAATTTCGATTCTTAAATGTTTAAAAGTAAAGAATTATTTACTAGAGAATAATATAAATAACTCGTAAAAAAATAATTTATGGCCGGAACTTTATTAGAAGAAGAACAAAACGATGAAAACGAAGAATAAGAAGATGACCAAAAAACAAAAGCAAAGAAAAAAAGAGAATTAGAAATATAAAAAGAAGAACAAGAACAAGAATAATAAGAAGAAAAAAAAGCTAAAAACCAATAATAAATAAATGCCTTTCTAGATTCTTATTTAGGTCTCTACAAAAAAGGTTCATATGTAAAAATAACCATAAAAAATATCAAATATGGCCATTTTAGAAACTTCGATCCTACCCATCCTTTAGTCTTATGCAGAATAAATCCAGGAGAAGATAACTTTGGTTATTTGAAAGTCCGAATTAAAAAACACAGATGGTATAATACAATATTAAAAACAATGGACCCTTTAGTTTTTTCTATTGGTTGGAGAAGATATTAATCTATTCCTTATTATGTTTCTTAAGACAATGATACTAGATTAAGATATCTTAAATATACGCCTTAACATGACTTTTGTTATGCAATTTTATACGGTAATTTTGCACCTTAGGGTACTGGCTTTATTTGTACTTAAAGCTTGAGTGATAAATTAGTAAATTATTTAAAAAAATATATATATATATATATATTAATATTAATTAATAATAAAGGAAAAATTCAGATTAGCTGCTACTGGAGAAGTACTTGAATTAAACCATAATTTTGAAGTTCTTAAAAAACTAAAATTAATCGGAGAGCCTTTCAAAATTTATAAAAATTCAGCTTTTATTAAAGGAATGTTTAATTCTAATGTAAATAATAATTTATTTTTTACAAATTAATATAAAAAAAAGATTGAAGTTTCGAAATTCGAAGGAGCATAAATCAAAACACCATCAGGAATCAGAGGATAAATAAAAAAAGCAGTAAAAGAAGGACAGCCAGGTTCATTTAGAGCTACTTTTGAAGATAAACTAGTTGCAAGTGATCTAGTATTTTTAAGGACATGGTATAAAGTTGAATTAGAGAAATTTTATAATCCTATATTATCTTATGAAAAGTAAAAAAAAAAAAAAAAAAAAGTAATTAATTTAAACATAAAAAAAGGATGAGGTTAATGAAGACAACATGGGAATTAAGAAAATAATTAAACGTAGAAAACAAACAAAATGAAAATAGTTAATATTAAGATATTGTAAGAACAGAGAAAAAATTTAAACCTTTAATGGTATCTAAAAATTTAGAAGAAAATCTTCCTTTTAAATCAAAAGAAAAAGTAAAGTAAATGTCTTAAAAAGAAAAAATATTAAAAGCAGAATCTAAATTACCGATTAAATAATTAACTTCAGAAGAAGACAAGAAAATATTTTCTTTAATATAAAGATTAAATACTATTAAAAAAGAAAAAATAAAAGCCAAAGAAATAAAAGTTTAATAAACTAAAATTGTCAAATAAGCTAGATAAGAAGGAGAAACTAAAAAATTCTAAAAAGGCAAAAAAGACTACGATAAGGAAAAATATAAACAAAAGTTCTCTAAAAAAAGAAAAAATGACAATAATTAATATGAAGATTGAAAACAAAATAACAAAAATATTATTAGTTATATGTGTTTATTTATTAAAATAAATATAATTTTTTTTTTTAATTAAAAAATAATAAATTAATATAAAAAAAAAATATAGATATTATTTAATTTTTTAAGAAAATATATAAATAATATGTATATATATATATGTATATATATTAAGTATTTTAACATATACAAATTCATTCTAATTTTTCGTTCATAACAATTTTCAAAGCTACAATAAAGCTCAATATAAAATTTGAAAGCAAAGTTATATACACAATTAACGTTCCTAAAATTCCAATAGGATGTGATGCTCCTTTTGTAGAAATATAAGCTAAGCCTAATATCCTACCAAAACAATAAACAAAGCACATTGAGGCTGATAATTTTGGGAAATATAAACCTGCTATTGATGTTGTTAGCATTAAAATAGTAATGCATTCTAAATAATTTTAATAATTTCTAGAAACAAAAAAATATATATTATTATAATTAAATATATAAATATATTATAAATATATATATATATATATATATATATTATATATATATAAAGCTATATATGTATATAATATATAAAAAGCTAATAAATATAAAAAAAAAAAAAATATTATTTAAATTAATTTTTAAAATTAATATTTTTTTTGTTTAATTACTTTTATGCTTTATTAAATATTATTTTTGCATTATAATCTAAATTTTAAGAATAAAATCCTTCTCCAATATCAGGAAATCCCAAAATTTATTTCGAAATATTTTAATGATAATAATCCTATATGAAATTTAATTTAAAATTAGATTTACAAATTCAATTTTATTATTATATTTTTATTTACTTGATGCATTTATTAAAAATGGTATTACATGTATTCTGAGTTAAAAGTTCTTTTACGGAAATAATATGTTATATATTTAAATAAATAGCCTATACATATGCTTATTAATAATGAAATAATAATAATTCCATAATCCGAATTATGATATTATTTAAGAATCATTAAATTTGTACGATTTTTTCTAAATAATTTAATGTTTTATATATTCGAAAAAAGAAAAAAATTAAAATATATATATATAATTACATTTAAAATATATATATATTAAATGTATTAAAAAAACATATAAACAATATAATCTTATTTTATAAAAAAAAATTAAATATATTTTAACAATATATTAAAATATTTTATATTTTATTTCTAACGAATAAAAAAAAAAAAACTAAAAAAACAAAAAATGTAAAATTTATTTTGCTAATAATAATAAACATTAAACACTTCCCAATCTTAATCTAAATCTCCCAATAAAAAAATTATATTACTAAAAGATTATGATTTATCTTAAATAAACACTATGCTTTAATCTTAATACTCTCCAATCCCAAATTAAAATTAAATAATAAAATAGTAAATATTTACTCAATAAAAGCAACAATATTCTCCTATTTAACAGACATTGTAATTAAACCAAATAAAAACAGAAAGATAACACAATCCTCAAATATTTGTAAAAAGACTAAATAGATAAAATAATAGTTTTATATTGCCTTAATAGAATATTGAAAACTGAAAATTAAATAATTAGTTTTAAATTAATAACAAAAATAATTTAAACTAATCATAAATAACCACAAAGTCTATTATGAATAATAGTTTTGTTGTAAATTAATAATATTAAAGAAATGAAAACGTTTCTTATGTAGAAAGCAATAATTATTAATAAAATATTTAAGAAAACTAATTGAAATAAACCAATCTTTAATTGATTGCTCAAATATAAAAATTAAAAGAAGAAAAAAATTAAAAAGATGAAAAATTAAATTAAAAAAGCGAATTAATTTTTTAAAAAGATAAACAAATTTAAAAAATGAATGAAATGTTATTCGAACTTCAACAAAAATTAATTCAAAAACATGAAAAAAGCACTAAAAAATAAATAGATGGTAAAGAAAATTAAAAAGGAAAAGAAAAAGAAATGAATATTTTAGAATTAGAAATTTAATTAAAATAAAATATGAAGAAAATGAAAATCCTAAAAGCTTAAATAAAACTTAAAAAAATAAATTAAGAAAGCCAAAATAAAAATATACTAAAAAAAATAAATGAGTTAAATAACTTATATATTTAACAAATTAATGACTATTAATAATAAATAATTGAGTATTTTATTTAAACCAAATAAAACTCAAAAAAAGAAAAAACTTTAGATAAAACTTTTATAACAAGTGAAGATTAATACTAATCATAAGAATATGAATAAGAGGAAATTAATAATAATTAAATCAATTAAAATATAAATAAAAACAATTTCTTTAAAAATAATAATAATTCTTAAGAAAAAAATATTTTAGCCGAAAAAAGTAATCAATTAAAAAACTACTCACAATATATTAAAGAAACAAAGGAAAATCTTATTAATTTATAATCTTATAATAATAATAGTAATAGTTATTCAATAGAATATTAAAATAATATGACTTTTTAAAATGATAGTAAATAATAAGAAATTAATAATAAGTTTTAATTAGGTAAAATTTATTAACAACAACAAAAATTTATTTAATTTTATATTTTTTTTTAAAAAGATGATTATGACTATGAGATGAAATTGTAAAATATACTAGATATGTAATAAAATATAAAGAAAATGTTTGAAATGAATTGAAAGTAAAATAAAATTAATATCAAATTAATTAATATCATATAAAATTATAAAAATATAAACTAATATATATTAAAAACAAATATTATTTAATAGAATAAATAATATTATACTTTTTTATTATTTAGATTTTAGATAACTTATTTAAACAGGCGGAAATATATTTTTAAATTAAAATATTATAAATACAATAATCTTATTTATAAATAATAAATATTATTAAAAATAAAATTTTTAATTTATATTTATTTATTTTTCATAATTCGTATATTTGATTTTTTGAGAAAATATTTTAACTATTTTCAGATTATTATTAATTTTAATTAATTAAATTTTCGCTTTATTAATTATTCTTATTTTTACTTAATCTTCTACTAATAGTATTAAGATTTTCATTAGAATGTTAATTTTATTGTTTTATATTTTTTTTAGATTGCTAAGAGATATGTCTAGAGTTAACTAAATTAATGTTTTTTTGAGGAGAAGTAACTTACGTTTCAGAAATATGTTATAAACTATTTTATTACATTTTTTTTAGATAACTGTTGTAAATAAATTTCTCGTTTTTATTCAATTCATCAATTTTATCTTATTTTAAATAAAAATTTCCTTTATTTTCTTCAATTAGTTAATTAATTAAATTAATTTCGTTTTCCTTTTCTTTCAAAGTTAATTAAAGCTATTGATTATCACAAACTTTTTAAGTTATTATATTATTTTTAATATTTATAGTTTTATAAGTTTCTTATAAATATTTTTCTTTTTAAACAATTTCTTATTATAATTTTTTATTTTGTTATTCTAATCTATAATTAATAAAAATATTTTATAAAATTATATATATTTATTAATTTTTCATATTTTTTTTGTATATATAATATTTTATTAAAAAACTCAATTAATTTTTTTTTTAAAAAAAAAAAGCAATATAGTTTTTCTCTTTTTGTTAATTAAGATTTTTTTTTAAAAAAAAAAAATATAGAAAAAATATAAATAATTATAAACAAATAATATATATAAATATATATATTTTTTTTACGTTAATAATTTCTGTTATATATTATTTCCAACTTAATTTTAAGATTCTTCATTATTTTTATATTATTTGTTCGGTTTTAAGTTATATCATTTTCTTTTTTTTTTTTTTTTTTTTTTTTTTCATATTTATATTTTTTTTTACTTAAAATTAGAAATTTAATTTTGTAACTAGATTTTAAACTTCAATTTTATGACTATCTTTAATTTTATTTAACATGTTATTAAATTTTTCATTTATTTCTTTTATATCTCTTTATCTTAATTAATAAAATTTATTTATTAATTATATTATTAGTTCATTTTATGAATATTAAAATTATTATTTTAATATTTATTATAATTCATCTTCAATGATTGAAGAATTTTGTTTGAAGTTTTCTATATCAAAATCAAATTATTTTTATAATTTATCATATCGTGCATTAGTAAAATTAATATTATTTTTTACCATTATATTTATCATATCTTAAACAGATTAATTTTTTAATTTTTAAGTTTCTTATATTTACTTATTATTGACAGAATTGTATTACTAATTAGAATTTTGCATCTTTTTTATTATTTTTTCGTATTTTAATTTTTTTTATATATTTTGATATTTTAATTATTTTTTAATTTTTAAATTAAAAATTGAAAAAAATATAAATGATAATATCTTTGATTTTTCAATTAAATATAAATAATTTTATATTTTCATTTTTTCTATATTAATTAACGTAAGAATTTATCAAATTATTTATAATATTTATTACTAAAATAAAAACGAATTTGATTATAATTATTTATTATTTTTTTCTATTAATATTTTATATATATAAATAAGAAAAACTAATTAATTTTTTTTTTTTTTTAAAAAAAAAAATATTAAAAATATAATTATAATTAATTTTTTTTTTTTAATATATTATTATATTATTACTTTATTATTTCTAAAATAAATAAAAATTATATAAATAAACTGAAATTTTAAATAAAAAATGAAACAATTAATTAAATAATATTATAGATAATTTAAACTTTTTATATTTTTAATAACTTGTTATTTTTTATTTAATTTTATTAAATTATACTATATATTTTTATTAAATATATAATATTAATAATTATGTCTTATAGAATAGATTAATAATTAGTTAAATTTATTTAAATAATATTTATATATAATTTTTTTAAATATATAATAAAAATCTTTAAATATTTTAATAATTAAAAAAATAAAATAAATAAAATTTATTATAAATAAAAAAATATATTTTATAATTAAAACCATTTAAAATCTTTTTATCTTAAAATTAAAATTGTATA